TCCCACAGGTAAGTGTGATGTGGCATCTGGAAAAAGCGAAGAGACACCTTCTGAAGATTCTGTGTTTATAAGTCCTAAGAAATCTTTAACTCTGAAAATATCTTTTTCCTCCCTTTCTTTTCTGAACTCTCTATGTCCTTTTTCTCTTTGTCACACACACACTCCCAGGTTAGAAGGCTAGATTGACTAAAGCCCTCTATTTTCTAACCCTGATCCCACCCTTCTAGAAAAGCTTTCTCTTATTTGACCTTCACATCTATGTGGGTTTCTGCAAAACTAAAAAAAAAAAAAAAAAAGATCCTATTTACTGAACAGTGAAGCCAAAGACACAATCTCTTTAAGGAACTTAACTTGTAAAGGCCCCAAGGATGACAAACATTAGGAAATATAAATACATGTTTCACCCAATTTTTAGGCATTTCTTTTTCTAAAATGCTCTTATACTACTTGTTTCTCCTAATTTTCCCTTGTATAAAAGCTGCAAACCAGTCATTCAAAACCAGTAAAGCCATGAAACATGGGTTCTAGCCAAATGAATAAATTAATTTCCTGAAGCGTTAAAGATAACATGTCTAGACAGCCTTTACAATTTATTTTTGGTGTCATTCATTTACTTAACTTCGACTCCCAAGGACTGAAGCATAAGAGGAACATAAAGGTCTCACAAGTTAACAAACATTAACAGATGTAACTGGCCCATGAGTTACCTATTTTGATTTAAATTTATTATTTCAAAGCAATTCATACATACGAAATGGAGAAAATAAGTATGCGGGGGGGAAAAAATCTGACTTTCAGAAGTTGTTCGGACTGTCTAAAAGGTATCTAAGGAAGCTCAGTGTACCTGAGGCAAATGATGATTTTCTTTGAAATATTTCCAAGTAGTTGTCACCTATCTATCAACAATCTTATCTGAATTCTGTGTGTAACAGTATCAAAAGGCATTACTGGGAAAACCTCTGGCAAAGTCCTCAGTCCAGGTGTTTCACAGGATTCTCGCCAGAATGTCACAGGCTGCTGCAGAGAAAGTAAGAGTCTCCACGTTCTGCTGTATTTAAAGGCTTATTTCAGTTCCGACTGTTTAATAGTGAAACTGTAATCTTCTCTCTTAAGGATTTTCAGAAACTGCTGAGCCTTCTGTTTTTAACATTCCAGAATGGAACTGAAATCTTGGTTAGCTATATTTCTCAACTCAAATCAAATGCATCATGACTATTTCGGGCCATATGACCTAATCTCTCTGGACTGCTTAAACCACTATAATGAAACAACGATGAAGACGCTAGACAATGCTAAATCTGCAATGAAAATGAAATGACAAAATTAAAGCTAAGTGCTATGCCAACTAGGTCACTCAGATGTTTCTTAAGAATCGGTAGGTAAACACTGAAGATCCATTAGAACATGACAGGAAACTAGAATTTTGCACGCGGGAGACACGGGTTTAATAGACAAGTTAGTTACGCTCTCTACAGAGACTTACCAGTTACGAGATTTAAGGATCTGATTAGAAATCTTTACTTTTACCAAAAAAAAATTAAAAATTGCTGTTTTAAAAATTACTGTTTTTTTCTTTGCTGGAGTAAAATTTATATAAATAATAGATACGTGACTTACAATGTATATCCTTGCCATGTCCAAGTCACGGTATCCTACAATAACAAAAGTATTAAACTTAGTTTGGAGAAAAAAATACCACATAAAACAAAAACCCATGTATTTCCTTTCTGAACGAAAAGCAATGCATTGAAAAGTAAAACAAGCATATCATTGCTACACATTAGTGAACTGATCTATGCATTCTTGGATTATTTATCTTCATGGCAAAGATCTGTCTCCTATACATAAACATCTAGCTTTTTATGGAATTAAGTTGCTCCGAATTGTGCATGCTTACCTATTTTTCTCATAATATGAACAATATTATGGATAATTTGCTTATAAAAACAGCATATGTTAGTCTCCCTCCCACAAAAAAAATAGGGTTATGTGGGAGAAAAGATTAAAGTAATAGTGAAAGAATCTGAATAGATGACAAATGCAAACCCACAGGCAGAAGTACAATAAGTAGAAGTCTGACAGATCTCAATTTTTTAATTATGGATGTCCACAGTTGAGGAACGAGCCACTGACTAGAAAGCTGATCAAGAACTCTTAATATGAAATAACATAGTTAATAACTACACCTTGCCTTTTTATGTAAATTTTATGTAAATTTCCTCTCAGAACCAAAACACCTCCAAATCTGGCTGTTTGAAATGGTGACACACTCAACACCCAGAAGACAAGGGTGTACCTAGCTGGAGCACAGGAGACTGCCTCCTGGGGCCTTCCATAGGATGTCAGGTTCTTTGCAGTTACTTTCTTATTTAAGCTGTTTGCCAAGAGTCCCTTTGATGAGGCAGTAATTAAACATCGAGCCTCTCGCAAATGTAACCTACAACTTCGATCCTTCTACACCAGTAATGACCACTGAATCAGGAAAAGTTTTCTCCTAGGCTTAATAAAAATCACAAATGTATTCAAGTTTTCTCATGAGACCCTGAATCTGAGACTTAGTCATACTATTGTAGTGACAATAGAGTGAACGCTAAGGAAATGTCCTCCTCTAGCTTAGTGGCAAAAACAGTATGTAAAATCTTGGCACTAACGGATATGTGCCTATCTCGCCAACTTTTAAAACCTGAATGTGGTAGGGAGAATGAGTCTCCCCATCTGCTTCCACCATTTGGCGGCTAGTCATCACTTTTCTGGAACATGAAGAGAGGGGCCTTAGAGGATGAGTGCCGTTCGGAATGTTTCGAAGTCTCCTCAGAGTGGAATCCAATGCTCACCAGCTTGTTGGGGTACCTGAGGAGAACTGGCTGCACGGGAACTCCTGGGATGAAGGCTCCTGTAACCACAGCGAGATTTTATAACATGTTCATTGTCTGAAGACAAGTTTGACAAGTAAAGAAAAAAACCTGATAATAAATGCTACGCATATACTGAACGTTTAGGAGCACACGTAAACTATCTGCTAACTGACGATAAATCCCTAACACTGACCAAAATGAGAGAGTTTTAAAATTCAGAAGTACGTAAGCAAAATATTAAATGTCGTAGCTAAGTCGATTCAAATATTTATTTATTTACATCTCCCCTTATTTCCTTTTTCCAAATACCTATAATTTACCAGGATTTTAAAAAAATTAATAACAAAAACCAAGACAAACTGAAAATAAGGGAAAGGAAAATCTAGATAAAACCAAATGCTTGAAGCAAGAACTTCCACATTTGCCAGAAGTGAGTTCCAACTTCGGCTCTGAGCATTCCAGCAGCCAATGCAAAAATCATTTAAAAGTACTACCAATTACTATGAAATTACATATTACTATGAAATTCATAACTTGATATATATTAAAAAAAAAAGAGTGAATCTTAGAAGGCATTTGAAGGTATTACAATGATAATTGAAATAGGTTTTCTACATGATGACACGGGACCCCAGATGTGACAGCATCCTTGGAGGAGAATAAAAAGCTGCCAGTGATTCTGCCAGTGATTCTGCTCACACACACACACACACACACACGTTCCCTCCCTCCCTCCTTCTCTCTCTCTCTCTCTCTCTCCAAGGAAGAAGGGGTAATGACACCAAAATAGAAAGTAAAGAAGTAAGTTCTGTGGATTCATAACATTAAGATTTTATCAGAAAAAGAAGAAATGCTCAGAGCGGACTGAGTTATTTTATGTATTATTATCAAATCATTGAGAAATGTTCATACTACTTTGTTACAATATAATTTAATTTATCTCACCTGGTTTAAAAGTAATCAAACAGGAGCGATTAGTACAAGTACCTTCTGGAAAAACTAGTATCTTGGGAGAAAAGGAACAGATTTAATATTTCAATCTAATTAATAGATTACCTCATGATTTGCCTTCTTACTACTTCACAAATAGCCGCCAATTCTTATAAAACGAAGATGAAATAAAAAGCTAAGCCCTGATTCTAAGGAAAGCTAGAATCAGATTATAGGTATTTGGTTTTCCTCTAAAAGAAGTATAGTCTGACCATTAAGATAATTAGAAAAAGGAGTAAAGCTTCGAATACAGTATACACTTAGCAAATGTTTCTTAGTGATGACACTTGTGATCCGAATAGTCTTGAAAGAAAATGCAGACCTAAGTCACATTCAAAGTGTGCACTTGAAAACTAAATTCTTCCTTCCCCTGCTCTACTTCCTTAACCAAGTCATTTCCCACGTCTTTGTTTCAGTTCTCACATTCGATGGTACTCACTCCCACAGTGTACAGTTTAGCTCATGTACTGAAGAAAAAGGAAGAACTGCTCGCAGCATGCTTTACGCTTACTTGAATTTAGCTGACATATGAAACAATCTGACATCTTTTCTTGAGAAAGTGTTTTTGGCTTTTAACGTACTCCCTTTTCCACGTGAAAGATATTCAGTACAGTTAGTTTCCCATTAGCAGAATAAAACAGCAGCTTGATTTTCTGAAGCGTTTAGAATTTGGTGATGAATAAATTGCTAAGTACGTAAAACAAACAAACAAAATGTCTGCCCTCCCAGTAGTTAGTAATGTGTAATTTATATTAGTGAGAGGAAACATCATTAGGCCAAACTGCCACCATAACGAGTCATTTGTAAAATAAAACTTATGAATAGGTGCAATTCCATCATCCTCTAATTTAAAAAAATCGGTTTCCTATGACAATGGGATACAATATCAAATAGGATGCATTCAGTGGAAATTCTATAACTACACTATTAACAATGAATCATAAAGCATCACAGCTGGAAAGGGCATTAAAAGTCATCTAGCATTGCCAATGCGTGAATTATTTCTACAATATCCCCCCCAAGTGGTTGCTTAGCCGATGCCTCGAAATTCCAGAAGAGGATTCCAAGTCAATCATTCTACCTCTGGACCGAAAAGAAAGTTCCTTGAGATGAGCAACATGAGCTAAAACCTACCTAAGTATTAACTCCCACCTACCAGTCCCAGATACATTGCTCAGAACCCAAGAGAAAAATCAAACCCTTATTTCAAATGCCATTTCTTCCCAGGCCCTTGTTTAACTATTCCTCATGTGCTTTGGTTTCTAAACCCTCTGGTTGGTCATATTCTCTGGGTGCTCTAACGTCGACACATCATCTTGAGTGGCCAGGTCACTGCAGGACCATCAGTTCTGCTAGTGACCACTTGTTCTCACCTGGGCAAAGGTAGAAGACTACTTCTGCATATCACCCATGAAGCCTTCCTCATCCCATAGAGGTTGGCCTTCCCTTCCCTTCAAAGGCATTCCTTCCAGGGGAAGGGGCTGGTGAGATGGTGAAGTTGGAAAAGCTTCTACAGCAGATTCTGATATGCCCCGCTGAACTGAAAAGCACTAATTTAAATGTACTTCAGATCAGATTAAAGATCTTAATTATATTTTCAGTAAGCCCACCATATTGTTGAGCATGACTGAGAGTTAGCATCTCATCTTTTCAAAGGGAAATAAATTCAGAAGTAGAGGATTACTTTTTAAAACACAAAGTGAAAATTGTTTCAGAGTTTGGTGAATAAAAAAGCGTACTACATTTAGTTCCATGGACTATCTCACGGGGAAGAGGACTTCTCATGCTCACTGGTGTCTTCTGCTCCTACTCTGTGGGACACATCTAGCAGAGGTGTCCCCAAGATACTGCTCTCCGTGGAGCCAAATGAATATGTTTACAAACGTACAATAAATGAATTCTCAGTATATTTAAGTCAACATCTACTGCGTTTTACCTGGGGCCATTCTCCTCCCGACGTTGCTCGTCTTACTATTTCATTTATTGTGTTCTTTCGAGAATCTGGATCTACACGAGACACCAACACTGGTTGCACAGCCCTTAACAGTCCTTTAAAACAAAGGAAAACTCATGACCAAGTCATCTTTTTTGGCTAAAGCTACCAAAGTAATACCAGATAAATCACAAAACAACTTTTACAGAAAATTTAAATGATAGCAAATCAAAAGAACAACTTAAAAAATTAAAAAAATAAATTTCTTGGATGTTTATAACTAAAAATATTTTATTGATTTAACAGAAGTTAGCAGTAGGGATATGAAAAGCAGCAAATGTAATTTTCTCCCTAAAGGTCTTCTTCCTCAATAGGTTATCTTGTTTTATTTTAGGGATAGCCTGAAAACTGATTATGCAAATTCATAGTTCACAGGAGCAGAAAGCAATTAGTATTCATTTTACTGAACTTTTCAGCACAGCAGTCTTCTAAATACATAACATCCTAGCACATGCAAAATAAACCTCGATTTACCAAAAATCTATTGCTACACACGTTTTCAGGAAAAACACCGTATTATACAAAGCAGGGAGTTCCATTTCAAAAAGAGAGAATGTCTTTCTTAGCCGAATGACCAAGCTGCAAGAACTACGATCATTCCTCCAGAGCACCAGGGCAACATCAGGCGACTTTCACACCCAGTCTCTCATCACTTCGTGCTTGCAGTGACCTTGGGACGACTGGGAGCAGTTACTTGGAGACACACACCCCAGAGAGAGAGGGCCAAGCATCTGGTGGGAAAAACATTTCACTTGCTTCATTATTTTTTATGGCAGGAAGCACTTATTGTCCCACATCATAATTTTCAGAGTTACACGTGGGTCTCTCATGGAGGTTTGGAGGCAATAATAAAGAAAATAGAATTAGGGAAAAAAGCTTAGTGTGTTTATCAGCCGGAAGAGAACTTCATGAAATCGGATGTAACCATTGTTTTCACAAATTCTTCAGTTAAATTCTCTCTCAAAAAAAAAAAAAAAAAAAAATCAAGCATGGAAAAACTGGTCTTTTAAATATAAGAACAGAAAGGGATGATGGTAGAGTGATAAAGATAAAATTTTAAAAGAATGGTAAGGGTACCTATAGGGAAGTATCTAATCTTTTTTCATAAACTCATTCTTTCAATATACTACCTCATTAAAAGAAATATGTTTAAAATAGTTTATCATGTTAAAGTTGCTTAAAAATCTACCAGTAAACTATACATGATTTTTAAAATTTAAGTCATGAACATAGAAGTATTTCCTCTATGTTATCTTACAAGTACTTACTGCCAATCAGAGGGACCTGCACATTCTCAAGTCGAGACACTATAGAAGGTAATCCGGTTACGACACAGGCAATTCCATCGAAGAATGTTGAATGAGGAGCGACAACAAAAATCGGTGCTTCCACAGGACTTGCGATCCTTCCTTTCACAGTAACTATAAACCCCATCGAAAGGAACATGGCGTGACCCAGAAACTTCAAAATTCGTTGAGTAATTGTCCTTTGAAAATACATACGTATATATAAAAAAGACAGAATTAGCTCTGCTCATTGCAGCTAACAGCAGGACTTTACATTAAAATACAATACGAAAACCAAAACATGTCAGAACACTTCGTTTTAAAATACGAAGAACAGCGAACACGCCCGTGGAGCTCTTTCTGCCAGGCGCTGTTTGAAACACTTTACATGTGTTACATTAGTTTCTTTAATTCTCAGCCCAATTTTATGAAATAGTTATTATCTATTATTATTCCCATTTTAAAGATGTGAAAACTGAGGCACAGAGAAGTAATTTTCCCAAGGGCATACGGCTAATAAATGGCTCCATTCTTCTGTGACTAAAAAGTGAGAAAAATGAATTTTCAACATACATCCTCCCTGAGAAATTCAAATCGGTACTGCCCTTCAAAGTAATACCTTGGGAATCTACATTTGTGTAATAGACACGCTGCTATTTCCCCAAATGCTTTTAGAACTCTCGTGCTGAAACTGTCTTCAGAGTTATTTTAGGGATAATTTTTTTAAATTAAGCCTTATTCCCTATATGACTACAACTCTTAGACGGTCAAAAATCTTAAGAAAATTCACCATCTCGCTCCCTTAGGACAGAGATGCACTTAAACAATTCCGGAAATCTAATTGCTTATTTTTAAAAAAGAATTTGTCATTAAAGATTACTTAATTCATCAAACTGTGCCAGGAACTGTGCCGGACATACACAACAAGTAAGATCCAGTCTCATTAAAGATTAAGCTCAGTATGTTGATAAGCTCAATCGAGTAGGGAAATAGAAACATACTCCTAGAAATGCAAACACACGATGGACATCTCAGTATGTGAATATGCATATAGCTTTTCACGAAAATAAAATACTATGCGTATCTCTCGGATGACAGCTAATGTGAGCTTTAAAAAAATGGGCTTCCCATCTAATTCTAATAATACAGTGAGCAGCTGCTATGAAGCAACTAGCTATTGAGGAAGTTGCTCTTTTATTACACAGTAAGAGATGAGCACACAAAGCCAAAGTACTTTTCCAGAGGGCACAGAGAAGTGAGTGACTGTATCTCTCTTCCTGCCCCTTAGTTAAGAGCTGAGATCTCTACTGAGGTAGGGATAAAAAGCAATCCCTTTCATGGAGCTTCCACACCTCCTATTTCTGATTTATGGTGATGCAGCTTCTGACAACTACATTCCAAAGTCTCCCATTCTCAAAGTCATTAAACATCTCTGTTTAAATGTTTTAAAAATGGCTCAAAGTCTAGTGCTGCACGTAGTTGACAAAAGTAGAACTTTCTTTTCCAACATTTATTATATCTGTTTTCTGGATTTTTAGACTATTCCTTCCATCCCCATGGGTTTACATAGGTCATTAAATTAGAAATCAAGGAAATCATTTAAAGGAATGAGTGATGAAAAATACCTCTTATACTATCTTTTTAATGACACGCAACTTCCAGTTACAAAACAAAGGAGTGCGATTCGCAAGGGTTGAGGTGATATTATTTTTCTAGGGCCGTCGCCAGCTTTGGGTTTAGTTCCACTTCAAACCAGCCTTGTGTTTAGTGTTGACATTTGTTCACATGAATTAAACTGCAAATAGCATATTTTTAAAAAAGTTTCTAGAACGGTGTTTCTCAAATTTTTGGAGGACATATTCTCCTTTGAGATTTTGATGAGAGGAATAGATCTTTGCACACAAAAAAAAAAAAGAAAAAGAAAAAAAAATGTGCGCAATTTCAGAGAGACTGACAGTGCCCTGGAACCCAGCAATGGATTTCTATGAAACCCAAGGAATCCACGTGGCAGGCCTTCGCTTCAGGGCATGCTTACCGCAACAAGCTGGTTCCACCCAGCAGGACGTAACTTTTACCAGTGACTTTGTTCATTCATGGTCAGTCTATTCTCTAATACCATGCCGACTCCGTAATGCTTGAGAAGCAGTTCCAGCCGGCCTCGGTGCAATGTTTAAAAAAGCTAGGCTATACCGATTAATAATTAAATTGTTGTGAATAATAATCACTAAAGTAATGAATAAACATACTATCATTGAACCACTTAATTATACCACTGCATAAAGTATGTAATTATTATAAGGGGACAAAAGCAATGTGAAAACTGAGGGAGAGCAAAAGGAAGCCAGGTATTTTTCAGCCACGATGGTTGTGGGCGGAGATTTCTACATATGACAAATGAAGAACAGTTTTATCTGAGAAGCAAAAATGAATGATAAAATTGAGTAGGAAGCCGATAAATAAAACTATTAATCACTGACTAAACAATGACAAACTCTCCTTTATCTTGATTTATCTAACATTTAGACTTAATTGTTTCTTACCTCCTCCAACCAGTTACTGGATGGGTCATCTTTTCAGGACAGCATGCTGTTGAAACTGCAGCAAATGGCCATGCCAGTAATAAAATTATTGCAACCAATAAAGCACGAATTGGAAGCAGGATAATTCCAAGAAGGAAAATCTGAAAGTCAAAGTAGATAAAAAAAAAAAAATAGATGAATGGACATTATTTTAATGCTGTAGCACTCAAACTGAAACATGTAAGAGGAAAGTTTTATTCAAGTATTCAAGCGGTCACTCAAGGACGAATTGAGCATTACACTGCACCTGACAATTACCTAAGCCAAAGAAAAATAAGACATTGTATCTGACCTCACAAAGCCTGTTAAATAGCAAAAGAAACAGTAAAGAAATCCGAGTACTGTAAGACGACTTGATCTGTATGTCAAGGTGATGCTGGGGGAAGAAAGGAAAGATGCCTCTGCCTTCACGGTGAGGGAAAGCTTCCTGGAGGGACTGAAGGCTGAACGGTCTTGAAAGACAAGCAGAAAGAAGCTAGCAGAGGGGAAGTTGCTTTCTGAGAGCTTTAAGATAGAGGAGAAGTGTTAATGAAAGTATTAGAATGTGAAGAAGTAAATGTATTCTTTTATATACCTGCCCATCCTTGATAACTAATAACAAAAAGATAGGGGAGGAAACAATAAAAATAAATAAGAATGAAAACTAAACAAGAATAGCCAGTAATATATGAATGCTTACTGTGTACCAAGCACTCTAAGTACCTGGCATTATTTGATTCTTACGACCTTAAGTGGTTTTACACACAGAAAGGAGAGGCACAGAGCGAGTTAAGTTAAATTGCTTATGGTCACAGTTACTAAATGGCAGCACCAGGATTTGAACACCGCTTGGTTACAAAGCCCTTGCTCTGAATCCTAGACCATACGGCCTTTTAAGTGAAAATTTGTTATCCTTACATATAACAAATTGTCTTTTTTCTATTAGCCAATAACATTATTCAAATAGTGCTGTCCATCTTCTGCCTACTTCCTTCTATGAGAATTTGAGCATCATCAACTAATTTACAAGAAATGCCAAAAATGTTCTAGTTATCTATCTCTCAAATTATTTGTATGCGCATGTGTGTGTGCCTGAAATAAAAATTACATGAGAGGAAATATGCAGATCTTAGGTGTATAATTCAATGAGTTTTAAAAAACTACCACTCCAATCAAGATACAGAGCACATCTGCCACCTAGGAAGTCACCTTGTGCATCTCTCTCCCCTGTTAGGTAATCAACGTTGGATATCTATCACCATAGATTAGTTTGGTCTGTTCCTGAACGTCACATAAATGGAATCATACATTATGTGTCTGTGTGTGTCTAGCTTCTCCCACTTGAAATTTTTGAAATTCAACTCTGTTGTTTTGTATATCAGTAATTCATTCTTTTTGATAAAAGAGTATTATTCCATTGTATGACTTTATGACAATATGTTTATCTATTCTCCTGCTGATGAACATTTGGGTTGTTTCTATGGTGAGGTATTATGAATAAAGCCAGTACAAACATTCCTATGCAAGCCTTTTGTGAATATGTTTTCATTTCTCTTAGGTAAATATCTAGGAGTGGAGTTGCTGGGTCACAGGTATAGTTTATAAGAAACTGCCAGACGGTTTTCCAAAATGGCTGTATTATTTTAAAGTGTCCCTGGCAACGTATGAGAATTTCAGTCACTGGACATTCTTGCCAACATTTGGTATTGGTGGTCTTTTTACAATATCAACTTTATTAATTCACATAAAATAAAATGAACCTATTTTAAGTGTATAGATTATGAGGTTTTCAGATGTATACCACCATGCAAATGTCACCACAATTAAGATATAGAACATTTCTATCACCCTAAAAGTTCCTTTGTGCCTCTATTAAGTCCATACACCCTCCTCAGCCCTTGTCATCCACTGACAGACTTTCTTTCACTACAGCTTTGCCTGTTCTAGATTATTATATAAATGAAATCCCATGATACGTACTCTTATATGTCTGGCTTCTTTCATCTCATATTTTTGAGATTCAACCTTGCTGTCATATGCATCAGTCGTACAGTCTTTTTAATTGCAGAGTATTATTGCATTGTATAAATATAATACAATTCATTTATCCATTCGACTGTTCATGGACACTTGGCCTATTATGTTTTTAGCTGTTATGACTATAGCTCCTATAAACATTAATATTCGAGTCTCTGTGTGAACATATATTTTCATTTCATTGGGAGTGAAATTGTTGGGTCAGGGTAGGCTTCAGTTTATCAAGAACGTGCCAAACTCTTTTCCAAAGTGGTTGTACCATTTTACATCCCCGCTAATAATGTGCAAAAGTTCCTGTTGCTCCACATCCTCACCAACATCTGGCGCTGTCAGTCTCTGCAGCCATTCAAGTGGGTATCTCATTGTGGTTTTAATTCACGCTTCCTTGATGAGCAATGGTGCTGAGCACATTTTCTGGGTGTCTGTTGGTCATTCTTTTAACTTCTTATTTTAAGTGTCTGTTCAAGTTGGCCCACTTTTATTAGGTTGTTAGTCTTTTTCATATCAATTTGTAGTTCTTTATATGTTCTGTATAAAAGCCATTTGTCAATATATGTATTGAAAATAATGTATCCCATCCTATGGCTCGCCTTTTCAATTTTTTAATGGAACCTTTTGATGAGAAGAATTTTAATTCTGATGAAGACTAATTTATCCATTTTTATTTTTAGTCCTTTTCTGTGTTCTTTCTAATAAATCTTTACCTACCTCAAAGTCATGAAGATATTTTATATTTTCTTCTTCCAGAAGCTGTATATTTTGGCTTTTATGTTTCAGTCTATGCTCCATCTTAAATTACTTTCTGTGTGGTATGCAGTAGGGATCGGGGTTCATTTTTATCTATAGATTTATCTAGTTCTCCCAACAGTATTTGTTGAAAAGACCTGACACTCCCCAATAAATTTTCTTGGCAACTCTGCGAAAAATCAATTGAACATATATCTGTGAGCTCTCTGTTCTGTCCCATTGATCTAGTCATCTATCCTTCTGTCAATACCTTACTCATCTTAATTGCTATATCTTTGTAGTAAGTCTTGAAATCAGGTAGTGTGTGTCCTCCAACATTTTTTTCATCAAACTTTTTTGGGGGGCTAATCTAGATCCTTTGCATTTCCACATAAATATCAGAATTAATTTGTCAGTTTCCACACCAACAAAAAAGCCCACTGGGATTTTTATTGCCATAGATAGGTTCCCTTTCTTAGACTAAGAGAGTACCCTTTTATTCCTATATTACTGAGAATTTTTTTAAATTTCTATAGATGTCGAATTTTGTCAAATGAGTTAACAAAATTTCTGCATCTACGGAAATGACAATATGCTTCTTATCATATGTTTTGCTAATGAATTACATTAAAATATAATTTTCTGGATGTTGAACCAACCTTGCATTCCTGGAATAAACCAAATTTGAAAGGATATATTATCCTTTCCACATACTACTGTATTTGTTAAAGGTTCTTATACTTGTGATCATGAGGGAAATTGGCCTATAATTTTTCTTACAACACCTTTTTCAGACTTTGAAAGAATGCTAACCACACATTTTTATATATTGTGTCTCCATTTTCATTCATCTCAAAGCATTTACTAGTTTTTCCTGATTTCTTCTTTGAAAACTGATTGTTTAGGAATGTGTAATTTCCACACATTTGTGAATTTCCCAGACTTCTTTGTTATTTCCCTGATTTCTAATTTCAATCCATTTTGTCTGGAGAACAATGTATTATTGAAATCCTTTTACATTTATTGAGATTTATTTTACAGCCTAATATAATCGTCTATCTTGAAGAATGTTCCATAGGCGCTTGAGAAGAATGTGTTTTCTGTTGCTGTTGGGTAGAGTGTTTTATACATACTTGCTGGGTATACATGGTTATAGTGTGTTCATCTTCTATTTCCCTGTTGATATTCTCTTTCACTGTTCTACCACAACTGACAGTGAGGAATTGCAGTCTCTCACCACTACTGTTGAGTTTTCTATTTTTTTCCTTCGATCTTTCAGTTTTGCTTTGTGTATTTGGGGCTCTGTTGTTAGGTGCATATAAGATTATAACTATTATAACTTCTTGATTAATCAATCCTTTTGTCATAAAATGTCCTCCTTTATCTCTAGTTTTCTGTGTTAAGTTCTATTTTATCTAATATTAATAGAGCCCATTTAGTCCTTCTTAGTCACTGTTTTCATGGTGTATCTTTTCCATCCTTTTACTTTCAATCCATTTGGGTCTTTAAATGCAAAGCATGTCTTTTTTAGACAGCATATAGTTCCAAGCTGTTTCTTTTAAGCTTTTTGGTTAGCTTATTATTTTCTCCAATTATTATTCACTGCCTCAGGCAGCTGTGCTGTTAAGCAATTGCCTCTGATTATTTTTTCACGAACAGCCCCAGAGAAAAGACTACAGTGAGTGGGTAAGCCCCAAGGCAGGTCAAATAAAGACAGCCTTGCAAACGATCGAGAAATAATTTTGACTGTGAGAAAAGACCACGGCATATACCCTGAAGCTAGAGTTGGAATGATGTTATATCATATTCATATAAGATTTACTTACATTCACAGTGAGTGACTAATATGTATTTTAATTGAGTTAAGTTGTCAAATATTGGGCACCTTTTTTTCTGTGCCACTTCCAGGTTTGCAACAAATAATAGTACTCAACAGTAAACCAATGCTGAGTAACTCTTTGACAAATTAGGAGGATTCCTCATCATATTTCCATTTGGTAATATGTCATTTCTATAGAGAAGCATTCTCTTAACCTTCTGACGGAGTTATCTTCTTCTCTGGATTGTCTTCATAGCACTCGCTATAACATAAAATTATATATTTTTATACTTGTTTAATTTTTTTTTCATTGAAATATAAGCTTTAGATAGACAGGGTCCTTATTTCTCTTGTTCACTGCTTTATCTCCAGAGATTAGCATTGTGCCTGGCACACAGTAGGCATTCAACTAATATTTCTGATATAGTAAATGACCCCACAATTACTACCACTCATTTCGATTCCATATTCTATCGGGGAAATGAAGGCTACTTTTTTTCTATGCCACTAAGTAGCAGACCCTTAAATAGTCAAAAAGAAAAGGGGAAGGCCAAAGCTAAGCCCTATGCGATGAAACCCTTAAGCAAGATAACGGTCCCTGAGTGAGATACTGATATCATTCAAGATTAAATTTAACTTTAAATTAAATTTAGTGTTATTGTACTAGGTCATACTTAAATAAAAGTATATCCATATTTTAAACTGGATAATATTGCCAACATTGTTTTTCAATCATGTTTATGTAAATCTTCCCTTTATCCAGACCATTCAAGCCATTGAAACCTATTTTGTATCTCTGGTCTATATGAATTTTTAATTTAAAAAAATACCCAGATTATATTCAATTCTATTCAGCTTTAAGTATAATATGTAATTTGTTGACAGCCAATAGCATAACTTTCAATAGTAAGATCAGCAAACATTACCAGACTCACAAATTATCTCACTTAATTTTAACCTTCCTTTGATGCATTATTATTTCAGTTTAACAGGTAAGAAAAGTGAAGTTCAGAGCTGTTAAGTCACTTGGCCAAAGTCACACAACTAATAAATGGCAGGGCCTGAGATGTATTCGAACACTAGTGACTAACACTACAGCTCTTGTAGAGTTATTTGGAAGTACTCCCTAAACAGGAACAGGAAAACAAAAACACTTAATAATTTACTCTAGGTGTAGTATATTTATAATACGCCACTTTCATCGTCTTTCCAAAATATGAAGCGAAACAGACAAACTTTCATTTAAGTATGACTGATTTGACCAAATCAACCTAAAATTATTCTTGAATGATAGTCAACGTACTTAGAAACATTTCAAAAGTTTTAAGATACAAAGGAGACATTGACCCATTTAACGACGTGAAGATCTACGTTTTAAACGTTTAGCTTCTTTACAAAGAGGTATTACCACATTATCTTCCTCTTCCTCTCTCACACCCTTCTTCAACCCGACACCCACCTATCAGAACTCGAACCACCACCCCATGCTGCTTAGCCCAGCACGCAACCAGCCTCCACTGTAGAAGACAAAGGTCTCTGCGTGCAAGTGGGCGGTGAAAAATTACACTACTTCGAATCCAGAGTCAAGAAATTTGTGACACATAGGACCAATGTGGCTTGCATAGTCTATCTTGTTCCTAGATCATGAACTTCACCAAACAGGAAGTCCAGAGAGTGAGTGCAACTGTTAATGGTAAAAGCAGCGCTTTACTAGAAAAAGGAAACTTCTTTTTTGTATGTAGTCATTTTAATTTATTTTTTTACGCCTACAGCGCCTGGTCTTCCTAGGTGGTCTCCCATCCAAGTACTAACCAGGCGCGACCCTGCTTAGCTTCCGAGATCAGATGGGATCGGGCACGTTCAGGATGTCATGGCCATAGACTGTATGTAGTCATTTTTAACAGTGGAAGAAAATCTGGGCTACTTCTCATCCTTGAATCTGGGAGAAGAGTTTGGGTGAAGGCTGATTCAGAACCCCAAACTCTTAAACACCCTAAGCTTTTCCTAGATTCTGATTTCCTACCTTTGATGCTCTTGCTCAGCTAGATCATCTCAGACTTACCTGTTGTTCCAGTTCCAGATCTAGGCCTTCTCCCTCACTTTCCCCATCCTAGACTGACTCCTCAACTTTCCTAAGGCCAAAAAAAAAAAAAAAAAAAAAAGTCCCTGTGGTAGGCTGGCCTCTCTCCACATGCTCGCAAACTCAAATCGAAGTTCTCAGATTCATTCCCCTTTCTCAACTCAGAATGTTTCCTCAGCCACCGGCCTGCTCGGCCGCCTCCTGTTGAGGACCTTCGTCACACCACCCTCCCTGTGCCCTCGATCCTCACACCCACGTCTAGGCCCTTTGCAGACTCATGGCCCCTGCGTGAGCCCTCCTCTCTCAGATCGACATCTCTTCCTTCCTCAGAGACTTTGCTCCCCAGACCCCCGCCCCCGACAGACAACCTCCCCTGCCAGAGCGATGGCTCCATCTCCCCTGGACCCATCTCCTCTCTCACACCCACGCCCCTCACCTGGATGCGCTTCGCCGCGCCCATCCGTGTCTGCTGCACGAAGGGGTTGGGCACCGGCGGCGGGAAGAAGGACGCTTGGCGGGGCACCATCGGCGGCCGCAGCCCCGCGCTCCCCACGCCGGCGCCCGGCACCGTGGCCGCCACGGCCGCCGCCTCGACACACCGGCTCATGGCAGAGCCAGGCGTCGCACCAGACAGAAACAACCCACGAGGAGAGCTGCAGCCGGCGTCGCCGCCAAGTCGGAGTCTGAGCCGCGCCGGAGTCCCAGCCCGAGGCTCCGCGGCGGGGCCTCTGCGCAGGCGCCGAGGTGACTTGACGCCGTCTGGGCCTCGCCCCGCCCCTCTGGCTCTGGCCACGCCCAGGGGCCGGCCCCACCCTCGGAGCGCTGGCCCCACCCCTTTAGGTATCTGGTGCTTCCTCTCAGGTAATACAGCTCCGTCCCCTTGGGAGTGAATGTTTCTCCTTCTGAGCCACGTAGGCCTGTGAGACAGTTTAGGTAGAGTTCTCTGCTTTAGGGTCAGGCAATCTGGACTTCCAATCGCTTTTGATGCCTCTGTGACATTGGCCAAATCACCTTCTCTATGAGCCTCAGTTGCCCTTCTGTAAAACGGGGATGAACAGAACTTAGACAAAGAGAACCTGAATCTAGCAATTAGAAAAACCACCCCTGGGCTTTTCCATTAAGTGAGTTTATAATACATCCAGGATGGGTTTTATGTGTTCGATTTCTGGTGTACGTTAGTGTCTGAGTTGGATGTTTATCGGTTCTAGCTGAAAAAGTCCTAGCTAATATAGGAATTGATACTAGGAGTGGAATCTGTTCCACTAAAAACATGGACTGATAGTGGGGAAATGGTTCTCCAAAGAATATTGAGCTGCTATTACTAGGAAAAGGCAAAAACAACTATTGCCGTCCACACTAGATGAGGAACCTGGCCCCCAAAGGGGAAGTGACTTGGCCTGTGGCTCCATTTCACCCTGAGGAAGTTGCCTGCCTGGACCTATATGGGTGGTTGGGGGAAGGGGGAGGACAGGGGTTTTTTCCAGAACCTGAGACCGGTTGGTCAATCCCTGAGTGGCTGAGAAGATGGCGAATGACTTATCCTTGCTGATCGACGTCTCACGGCAGGCTGTGGGCGTGAGGAGAATCGGTCCGGACCTTGGGACAGCTGTTCTTTCACACTTATTCACTGTAGAGCCCAGAAACTTCCACCACCACCAGACAGACACACGGCGTTCAGCTACTCACTTAACCCAAGCTTGCATCCTTATCCAGGAATGGAAAAAGATGAATTTCTACCCCCATAGGGTTGTAATAACAAATAAAATAATGCATGTGTATTTTTCATCGAAAAGCACTCAAGAAACGGCACCTGTTAGGTATTACGTTGTGGAGCAGCTGAACTTTCTCAGTATAACAGAGAACCTTAGTAACCTTGCTAACGGTACAGCCATGATATTAGCTTCTGCAGCCTCAGGGGCTGCCAGACCCTTACAGCTGTTTAGCCAGATACCTGCACAGAAGGCTGTCTCTCAAGGGCCCTCAAGGGCATGAGCCACTGGGCAGGCCACAGGAGAAAAGATGACCCTAGGCTTACCAAGGTCACCTCCAGAGTCCTGTCTCCCTCATCCCCTTCCCCACAAGCCCCACCATGAGCTGCCTGAAGCAATAGACTACAAGAGCCAGAGGAGATCTCTGAAACACTCCCAGGCCTTAATTTGTTTTGTAACAGCTCCAGAATTTCTGTAAGGGGGAGGGAGGTTAACAGTGGCATCTGGTGGAAGGAAAAGGGTAAGGAGCTTACCCATTAATAGCAGCTGTGCTTAGAATGGCAAACCCACATTTCTCCCCTAGCTGTGTTTATTAGAGTGGCTTCTCTTGGGATGGCGCAGTGGGGGAGTTGCAGGTGGGGGGGATGCGGACAATAGTGTTGCTGATGGAGGTTCTGGGAAAAAGGACAAAGCTCCTCCTCTGGGTCATCTTTGGCCTTGACTTGGGTTTGTGACCTAATAGCTATGATGCCCTGGGCAAATCCATTTTCTCTGGGCCTGTTTCTTCATCAATTAAAAAATGGGCTAATTATAGCCACCTCCCTCTTTAGGTTGTTGTAAAGCTTAAAAGAAATGATGCATATACAGTGTCTGGCACATAATAAGCCTTCTATTAAGGGGGATATTGTTATCAGTAGTGTTGGAATTGGGGTTATTGTTAATGAAGAAACTGAGATTCAAAGAGGAACCTTAAATAAGACTCTGCAGTGATAGGAACAGAATCACTGATGTTTCAGGGCTCCATGGGACAGAGGGACTCTGAGCTCGCTGGCTCTGAGGGTCCCTTGCTGTTTATTTTGGCCGTTTTGACCTTTCTAGCAAATGTCACCTGTGCCCTGCAGTGAGCAGAGATTTAGACTTCCTAAGTTTCCTCTTCTGGCTGGGGCTGTGGCCCCTCTCTGGCTCTGCAGAAACAGGGGCAAACATCGCCACTCAATTGGTGTCTTTATTCACACCTGTTGACATTTCCCATGGGGAATTGTTGAAGGGCTAGGAGGGGAGGGCTGAGCGGGAAGTCATGGCTTGGTTTTCCTCCATCCAGTGGAGGAAATGACAGGATACAGACATACTAAATAGAGTGAACAGGGAACCGTCGCTAGGTGGGCTGAGACGCATCGTGCAGTGACTGCAGACAGCCTGAGTCCTTCTGTCAGGAAAGGCGATTTCAAAGTGGAAAAATAAAAAATGATCGAAAGGAAAGAACAAAGTGCATACAAAGCAAACCACTAATGTAGGTAAGGCTCTAAGGCAGCCAACAGTGAGAAGCCAGGGATCTGGGTGGCCTCCTGACCATGCCTCTCACCCACTGCCCCAGGCCAGGCCAGGCTGTTGGGCCACCAGTGCCCTCTTGAGACAGTCTCTGTTGGCTCCGAGGGTGCTCTAAGCCACAGAAGGCTGTGGAGGCAGAAGGGCCAGAAGTGTGGCAGCACCAGGGCAGCCCATGGCAGGGCTGCATTGAGGATATCAAAGCATCTTTTGTGGGGTGGCTCTGGAGGGCTGGTGGGATACGGAGGGGGGAAGGGGCAGCTGGGAGGGGTACAGTCAGCACCTTTCCTTGGGCACAGGGCAGAGCCACTCTCCAGAATCTTAAATTACCAGGTGGGGATGAGAATTCTGATTAACCACAGAGCTGAAGGCTGCCGGGCCCTTCCGGGTCCTTTCCTGGTGCTCAGGGCCCGATGGGCAGAAGGTGATGGAGAAGCGGGG